TGGAGGCCCTGCTGGCCGTGCAGCCATGCCAGCTGCTGGTGGAGGCCCTGCTGGCCGTGCAGCCCGGCCTGCGGCTGGTGGGGGCCCTGCTAGCCCTGGTGCTGGCGGAGGCGGACCAGGTGGTGGTGATGGCGGGGGAGGTGCGTGCTGCATCTGGGTTGTCGCCTAGGTGGCTGTGGCCAACCTCCTGGTGGCACTGTTAAAAGATTGACACAAGCTTAAAACACGGACGAAAAACACTTAAGTATAGCAGCTAATAAGTTGACTGTTGACTAGTATTCGCTCCGACAAACAATTAGCATTAGCTCAACGCAAAATAGGCGTTTGTAGATTCAGAGATATTGTTGCCAATACCTATGCTAACAACAAAAGTGTTTGCTGAAAAGTGAAAAATGTCATCAGAAATAACCAACTTTTCACTCAAACATTTCAGCTGATTAGGTGTTTTCGTCATAGCAGATTGTTGCTTAGCATTTCCATTATGCCCCTCCCGCAAGTTGAAACAAATCATGTTACCATGTTAACAAACATTTCGCTTCAAAAACCACATGCAGTACGAGTCTTTTTGCAGAAGGAGTTAGAGAGATAGAGATAGTGGTGATTCAGCGTGCCCCGCTTCACTTGCTGTCACCGCAGGCGAGCTTCACCTTGGCCTTCGTCTGCTGACTCGTGTGTCTGTCTGCGTCACTACCAATGGCACCCAAAAGGTGTAGGACAAAGACCAACACACACTGGACCAACGAGTGAGCAACCAAGCCACGGCGTATGTCCAGCGACAGAATAAGGTGGCTGGGTCAGAATAGTTTCGGGGGTCGGGACTCGGGAACCTCGGATCCACTCAAACGCATGAGTTGAGCAGCTCTCGGCTCGGGGGGCACAAGTCCGCGACCACACCCTATGGGTGCGTCCAGAAAGTACTTATCTTTTTCCTAAAAGTCATTTTAACAACAGAAGCCTGGCGCCTGCGAGATTCAGGGTAGGCCAGCCCGCAGAACACGCATGCAATGCAGACAAGCTGTTGCCTATGTATTAGGAGCCATGAAAGCTTGCTTTGCTGAATCTGGCACTTTCGTTACTTCAAATAATGGTGGGCGTACTTTCTGGAAGGTCCTAAGGCGCTGCATGCACGCAACCAGGCTATTGCGTTTTGGGGGTGGGGTCGGGCGAGTTTTCATTAAGCGTTTCGTTACGTTACGACGTCGAGTGAAGGGGGAGAGAGCGATGATAAGTCGTAGGGACAAGAGACTACTGGGCACGCCTACCTGGGGGAAGGCGCGCATCTTCTTCCTCAGCCAACTGGAGGAGAGGATCCCTGATGTTATCCATCAAGTGGCTGAGCCCATTGAGGAACTGGAAGATGGGCAAGCCCTCACTTAAGCGTCTCTCCATGTCCCTCACTCTCTGAGCGAGATCTCTGTAAGATCGTTCGCGCAGTCGACCACTCCTGTTGCCCACATCCGCTGCACTGATCACAGCGGTGGCCTCCGCGTGGCTCGTCTGAAAGATCTCTGTAACAATCCAACAATTATATTGAATACATCGGGATGCGTCGGGCTGACAAGTGATTACCGTCCTGCACACACTGAAAGCTTATGAACATTTTTATTCATAGCTTACTAAGTTCTGTGTACGTGCTCCGCTTACGCATTTTTAATACGCTACTGGCGTATTAAAAATTGCGTTAGCGGAGCACGTACACAGAACTTGGTAAGCTATGAATAAAAATGTTCATAAGCTTTAGTGTGCACGGTACTCACCACAGAGCTCCCAAATGTTAACACGGGCCGCATTTGCCAAGACGTTCAGGTGCTGGTGGTGGCTCTCCACCACGTTGGTTGATGTGTGGTACCTCTGCCAGCACGACAGAAGGCGTGGCCCAACGCGCACCAGCCACTGCGTGTAGAAGTACGCAAAAAAGGCAAACATCTCTGCGTACACCCCGGTCTCCCGGGCCCACGCCTTGACGCAATTAAATCCTTCGCCAATCCTATCGAAGGGAAGGCGCGGCACTGTAGTGAGGAGCCTCACGCACTTCTCCGCCAGGTTGTTAGCTCGCACTGTGGGCAGGAGGCCGAGCCGACCCACGGAGCCCCACGAGCTGCGGGTGTGGTGCACCAAGCACCCACTCACGGTCGCGCCGAACACCCGACGCCACGCATTGGCCTGCCCAAGCTGAAAATCAGTTGTAGCGTTGGTCACCCTCAGCCCCAACTCGTTCAGCTTAGCAAGCACATGGACATATGTGGCTTCCAGTCTGTTTTCCATGAGTGCATAGGCCACAGGGATCACCTGCCGAAAAATTAAAAAGCTTCAAAATCCGCTTCTCACACACTCCTATTGTACTTTGGCATGCACTTGTGAGTGTTCAAATGCCACACAGTCGATGTGACGTTTCAACACCGACAAGAAAATCATTTATCACCGTCTCCGCTGTCCAGCCCCATCAGGCTCCTTACCCAAAGAAAGTGTGGCGTTCCGAAACTCACAAGTGCATGCCAAAGTACAACCCGATGACCTATTTCATATAGACCTAAGATATCGTAACGACGTCTCTCTGGCATCTACAGAACACTCATTTCTCCCTCGGTCGAGGGGGCACCAACTCCGAAATTTCGTGCACTGTGAATACACTCAAATAGTGAATATCACTGAATAATAACTGAATATCGCCAGAATACTGAAGGTATTAATTCCCTCGTGCACCGTGAATACTAGAAGTCACTGCCCCTCACCCTCGGTATGAAGCTTATTCTGACCGAGTCTAAAACATCATACCAGGTGGCTGACTGACACCGCGCACTTTCGTAGTTATGCTGGTGTGCTATAAGGGACCGTGGTGATCGACGGGAGGCAAGCCCACCAACACGTCTGCATGCGGTACAGTATCAGCAAAACAAAGAAGGCTTTCCCCTAGGGGCCTGTGAACCACCCTGTTGAGTACATTACTCACATTGTCCATGTACATAGTGACCACGACGAACAGCTGGCTGAGCCCCGGCGGTGCCAAGGGCACGATGTCAAAAGTCCCATCAGAGAAAAAGAAGAATGTCGTGTTCAGCCACGCCACCACGTTGGAGAACACCCACAGCAGACTCTGGAACCCAACCGTGCCGATCAGGCCGCGGAACAAGAGCTCCTCGCCGGGCCTAGGAGGCTGGCCCGCTTGCCCAGGCGTCTTGGTCCTCGCAAGGTGCTCATGCTGCGGGCTGGTGAGCACCCGCTGCACCTCCTCAAGGGAGTGAGGAAGGTGTGGGCGGGCAGCATGCCGTCGCTCGTACACCGCCCGCCTCATCTGTTCTGCGGTGACTGCAGCTCGGATGTGAGCTGGTGCCCTGGAAATGAAAGTGAGCATTAATAATTCGCAACACGGAAAAAAAAAAGATTTTCAGGCGAGTGTTAACTCTGTTTGATATGATAAATTCGATAGCTGGAATCGAGTATCCGATACCCACAACCAGAAATTTGTACGAATTTATCGAAGGTGGAGTTTATTTCTACTCCGCCGTGCGGGCGGGGCTGTCTTGCCTCCCGTCTCTTACCACTCTTACCCTTGCGAGTAGGTGGTCAACACATCCACACGCCTGCGTGCAGTACAGTACAACTACGAAATTGTCCGGGGTGTATGAGCCCCACGCATGGTATACCAGGTGGCTGACTCACGCCGCACACTTTCGTAGTTATGCTATACGGCATCCAGGCACGCGTGCGGGCTGGTTGCATACTTGTCCGGGGCCATAAGGAGCCGTGTGGGCAGCGGGAGTAGGAAAACCTGTGCAGGTTCTAATTTCATGATGTTTGAGCGAGCCCTGATAGCACCCGGAGCAGTCCGGAGGGAACCCGGATGCGACCTGGATGCGACCCGGACGGGGCGGG